ATTAGTGCATGCTCTGACCTCAAAAGACCAATTTTTTGAACGGCTCCAATTCCGGGAAGAAAGGAGACAGTGAGAATTTATAGGTCTACAATTTTTTCAAATTGCAACTCAAAAATCTTGTAGGTTTTTAAACGCCTAGCTTATCTTTACCAAAGAAAAACTCCTAAGAAAAAATCGGACTGTCATCCAAATTGCCATTTTTTTTATTTGGCACAATTTTTTTACATCTCAGATGTTTTCTTTTTGATATTTTAAACATAAAATCAATAATTTATCTACTGTAGTCAAGTTGATAAAATGTTCTCTCAGGACTTGTGCACCACTAAATCCACCATTTCTGATCACTAATATAAGTTGTAATTCAATCAGAAAATGTTTTTGTTTCATTTGTGTTACTTCCAGCAGTGGAGCTTCCGGGATAGAACTAAGGTCTCGGTCGACTTGGGCCTCTATGCAGTTGAATAGTCTGCATCTATAGCAGCCCTGTCACTGATTACTTTGTAATACATTACACATCGCGATATAAACAATATCCACCTATTCCATTTTCTTCTCTATATTTTAACACAGTCTAAATGGTGGAAATTCCGATCTAATTTTGATATAGAATATCTCAGAATTACATTAAAAAATTCACAATGTTTAATCTTATGCCTTGTTACTTGCGAGCATGATCAAACCATACGGACCTGAGAAGAAGAAAAACCTCTTTAGTACTCACAAGGTAGAAAGTTTAAATAATGATTATACTGTTGATACAGATATCTGAAAGGCTGACAAAATAAATTACGATCTCTGTAAAATAAAATCAAATGAGAAATTTTGTAATTAAACGCGTTAACTTATTTCGTAATACAAAAATCATTGCAATCGTCTCTACGTTGTTCCATTTAATTGTAACGTCCTGTTATTTTGATGTACTATCTTAATATATTAAAGAGAACAGCAATAAAGTTGTCGAGAGCTTTATTTTATGTTCCCATGAGATTAAAAAATTGATTTAGCAAGCTTCGAGAAAAAACCTTGTTATTGATGTGAATAAATTAAAAATCTACTGTTTTAGAAACAATTACTTTTATGAACATTGAATTTCATAACGATTTTAATGTAGTAAAATATGATAAATAAATTTTCTATAGTTCAAGGTTATTAGCAATCCACAGAAAATTGTATAATGATTCAAATGAATAAAATTATCTGACTTTCTCAGCAATAATATTCCTTCCTAAAAATGTATAGTAAAGTAACAGAATAAATGTTACAGAGAGCAGGGGCAGATCTACATAGGGACTAATAGGGCTTAAGCCCTGGGCCCCCAAGTGTCAAGGGTCCACAAAAATTGAATTATCATCATAAATTTTTAATAATTTTCATTAATAATGAGCACTTATTGATATAAAGTTTGTCATTCAACACCATTTCATAAATAAATATATTTCAACTCTGATTTTGATGTTATTAAAACTGAATTTTAAACTCCAATTTAAAGAATCTTAATCTAACAAAAAATGGAGCCTCCATTAGACTTCAATAAGCCCTAGGCCTCAAAAAACCTAGATCCATCCCTGACAGAGAGAGTCAAGTTCCAGAGGGATGAAACGAAAAACTTCTCTTATTTTACCGTATAATCTTAATAAGTTTTCTATGTTACAATGCAAATACATTATTTAAAATGTTAATATTACAAGTTAAATAGAAAACAAAGAATTTTCTCAAATGATTTTAATATTATCCCAAAACCAACATGGAAAACACCATTAAACCATAGCTTGTAATTAGGGTTATGTCAACTGAAAATGTACTAAGAGAATTTGGCTGCTTTGCATATGGAAAGCAATTTACCAATAGGCCTACTGTATCAAAGTGTATTGTACATGTATTGTACAGTACTAGAGTGAGATAAATGGATTGAATTGGGTTGATAGTATAAGGCAATGCTGCAACAAATGAGCAATCTGCCAAAGGGGAGTGCTTCCTGGGAGTACTTTCCATGGAAAATTGGCCCCTATTTGCATATTAAACACATGAAAAAACTCCATGGGGCCAGTCCTTTGGTCAAGTGAGAATCCACCACCAATGTTCAGTGGTTTATCCACTAGAACAAGGGTGGAAAACTTTTTAAAAGTGTGCATGCAGAAATTATCAAATGAATGAAGAAAAATTTTCTCATGTGCCAACTGAAATTTTTGGAAGCACATTATTTGATGTTTTTTTAAGTACTGAGAGAACCTTTTCAAGTAATCAAAAATCCACATATACACACTCTAGAAACCCATTAAATTCTTTACAAAACAAAATACATAAAAAATGTTGGTTATTTATTTCTTACGATAAGCCATGGGTTACGTGCCAGAAAAAAGTTGTTGGCATGCCACATTGTTCACTAGAGTGAGTTGTCCAAAATTCAAGGAAATCTGTCTTTATTTACAATCAAGTCCATTAATGGAGCCTCAGACATGGGAGTAGTTCAATTAAGAGAGAATGCTCCCAAATTTTCCCATTCCTTATTTTCTACATTAGTGAGATTCATGCTAACAGTACAAGATAGTAAAAGAGTTCCTTTAAATGAGCATTGTGTCAGCAGCATATTTAGAGCAGAAGCCTGTATAAAGATTGCACTATTCTAAGGAAGATTTATAAGGGTCTATCTTTAATCAGTACATCTGTAAGATTAAAGATGGACCCTTATTTCTAAAATTTCTAATGTTTCATTGGAGAACATTAGAAATTTTAGAGCAAAGATGTTCACATCTTTTCAACTTGACCACCTATTGTATTACTGGAAATGAAAGTATGTGACAAATAAATATACTATATTTACTGATTACTTTATATAACAATAAAACTGATGATATTCAGGAACAGATTTAAGGGAGCTGTAGGGGCTTATACCTTCCTCATTGACAAAAAATAAATAAAATTGCTCTGAACTTCAAAACATTGTTTTTAAAAACATTTATGATGTCAAATATGTTTTATCAGACTGTTATATGATGTTATATGTTTAATACAATTGCCATGCACATATTAATAAAACGTTCTTATTAATTATTCAAATAGTATTTTTAAGCTAGCCCCTCTTTCAGTTCCTCTGAATCTACTACGGAATGGAAGTAAATATGTAAGTAAAGTAAAATTAAGTGATAATGAATTTTAATGCTTTCAAATATGTTGTAAGTTACATAGAGCTCCTAAAACATGAAAAACTGGAGAATTAAATACTATCAACAATCCTCTGGATGATCTTGTTACTTTGTGTAAGGGAGCATGACATAGCAATCCTGATGATCTCAAGTGAACTTGATTGTATATAAAGGTTTTAATTATTATTTAGAATTTAGAAGAGTTTATTAAAACTAAATCATAAAATAGAAATTATAACAAATTTTTGTAAAGAATCATTGCTTTAAGTTAGCCCACATATAAATAAATGTAAAAATCTGTTTATTTTATTACTACTGTAATGAAACTGGGCTTGGATGTCACGCCAACAGTTATCTCAATCAAAACTTCTTCCAAAACTTCAAACTATGAGGCGTTAAATATAATTAAAAATATTTTAATCTTGCGAGCGCTTTCAATGTAAATATGCACGTCGTCTTCAGGCAACGTGCATATTTACATCGAAAGTGCTCGCAAGATTAAAATATTTTTAATTATATTTAACGCCTCATAGTCTGAAGTTTTGGAAGAAGTTTTGATTGAGATAACTGTTGGCGTGACATCCAAGCCCAGTTTCATTACAGTAGTAATAAAATAAACAGATTTTTACATTTATTTATATGTGGGCTAACTTAAAGCAATGATTCTTTACAAAAATTTGTTATAATTTCTATTTTATGATTTAGTTTTAATAAACTCTTCTAAATTCTAAATAATAATTAAAACCTTTATATACAATCAAGTTCACTTGAGATCATCAGGATTGCTATGTCATGCTCCCTTACACAAAGTAACAAGATCATCCAGAGGATTGTTGATAGTATTTAATTCTCCAGTTTTTCATGTTTTAGGAGCTCTATGTAACTTACAACATATTTGAAAGCATTAAAATTCATTATCACTTAATTTTACTTTACTTACATATTTACTTCCATTCCGTAGTAGATTCAGAGGAACTGAAAGAGGGGCTAGCTTAAAAATACTATTTGAATAATTAATAAGAACGTTTTATTAATATGTGCATGGCAATTGTATTAAACATATAACATCATATAACAGTCTGATAAAACATATTTGACATCATAAATGTTTTTAAAAACAATGTTTTGAAGTTCAGAGCAATTTTATTTATTTTTTGTCAATGAGGAAGGTATAAGCCCCTACAGCTCCCTTAAATCTGTTCCTGAATATCATCAGTTTTATTGTTATATAAAGTAATCAGTAAATATAGTATATTTATTTGTCACATACTTTCATTTCCAGTAATACAATAGGTGGTCAAGTTGAAAAGATGTGAACATCTTTGCTCTAAAATTTCTAATGTTCTCCAATGAAACATTAGAAATTTTAGAAATAAGGGTCCATCTTTAATCTTACAGATGTACTGATTAAAGATAGACCCTTATAAATCTTCCTTAGAATAGTGCAATCTTTATACAGGCTTCTGCTCTAAATATGCTGCTGACACAATGCTCATTTAAAGGAACTCTTTTACTATCTTGTACTGTTAGCATGAATCTCACTAATGTAGAAAATAAGGAATGGGAAAATTTGGGAGCATTCTCTCTTAATTGAACTACTCCCATGTCTGAGGCTCCATTAATGGACTTGATTGTAAATAAAGACAGATTTCCTTGAATTTTGGACAACTCACTCTAGTGAACAATGTGGCATGCCAACAACTTTTTTCTGGCACGTAACCCATGGCTTATCGTAAGAAATAAATAACCAACATTTTTTATGTATTTTGTTTTGTAAAGAATTTAATGGGTTTCTAGAGTGTGTATATGTGGATTTTTGATTACTTGAAAAGGTTCTCTCAGTACTTAAANATAATTATTTTATTCTATTATTTACAGAAAAATCAAAGCTTATTTGCATGTTTCCATCGAATAGTAAACAATGAATGTGGAATCTCAGAATTCCATTCTCCTTTTACTGCTAAATTAGCTGTTATTCTTCCTAATTCATCTGACATTTTAGCTCCCTTTCCATTACCAGCTATTGCTACAGTTAGAATGGGTGTCACTCTGTCAATATAAGGAAGCTTAGATGGAGTATGAGTAGTTACACATGAACTACCTTTTATAGACATAACTTCAATACCTAAAGAAAAGATTTTATAAAATAAATAATAAATTATTAAAATCTTCAAAAGCATTGGCATTTTAAAAAGCTTCTACCTGATAGGAGTTTTTTTAATATATCAGCATATTCCATTATTATTTCTGGGTCACCACCTGATAAATACCATTTCTTTACTTCTTCTATTGTATGCAATTCTTTCCTGAATTCTTTCCCATGACCAATTTTTAAATACCATTTCCCTAAAGGATTTAAAAAAGTAAAAATAAATAAATAGATTAGAGGTATTGAGTGAATAAAAATATAAATTGCAATTAATATTATGATTTTAAAAAAATCTGGTTTAATACCATTTTTACTTTTTCAATTTATAGATAATTATTAGCTATAATACCTAGTTTTCATTAATTATCAGAATTATCACTGTATTAGAAAGTTTAGCCCTTAAGATATTTAGAGATGTTCCTTTCTCTCCATGTAATGTTTTTGATGTAAATAAATTGATTTAGTGAAATATGCTTTTTTTATAAGTTAAAGCTCAGTGAACAAAAAAAGTCTCTTACTTAGCACAATAGTTATGGATCACAATTAAAACCGCTCAATTTGCAAACATAATACTTCACATATTACCACCTCCTATTGTTTTCTTACAGTGAAATTTTCCTGTAATTCCATAAACATCTATCCCTCAGATGCTTATCAATAAGTTCCTCTGATGTCTTTAACAAAACAGTGATACCTCATACTTCAAACTGCACATGCAGTGTAAAAATCTGCTCTAAGCATAAACACAGGTTGTGTTTATGCTTAGAGCACTCTTGTGTTATACTCTTACTATGATTTCAGTGCTTTTTTCATTTTATTTTTGGTATTGATACATTTGGTTATATGTATTGTGTGTTGTTAGTTGATTTTTAACAATTTGGCATAAAAAACTGGCACACAAACTGAAAATATATACTAAAATAACCACTTCACACTTAATCAATAATTCCAGCAAATGAACAAGAAAAAATTTTAATGTTCAAATGTTTTCGGCTGTCTTTCGGAGGCCCTCATCAGGAAAAATTGCATAGAATAGAAAAACAGTTCTATCTTTTTAACAGTTTTCAAACATAGCTGTGTTCTAATTTTTAACATTTAAACAATGTTGAATACAAAGATCATTACGTATTACAACATATAACTAAAAAAAAAAAAAAAGAGGAGTACCGATGGGTAGCCCTATCTCGGGGGATCTGTGCGAACTCATCTTACGTAAATTAGAGGAAAGAGTCTTAGTAAGCTTACAACACAATATCCTTAGCTATACGCAGTATGTAGATGATATTTTGATTATATGGAAAAACAAACCTGATATAGGAGAGGCGTTAAAAATTTTTAACAACAACGCCTATGGCCTAACACTGGAATTACATCAGGAAAGTTGCACAGAGGTTAGGTACTTGATGTCAAGATTAGTATGACAAATAAAAATATAATCACATCTATTTACCGCAAACCCACATACATTCCTCTCTTTATACCAGCTAACTCAGCAGACCCTTGACCTTTTAAGGTAATGGCCTTCCAGGCCCTAGTTGCTAGGGCTTTCTCCCATTGCTCAGACACTTCCTTTACACACAACGAACTGAAATGCATCAAGTCTATAGCATCTGCACATGGGTACCACCAATCCTTAATAAACAGGCTCGCTGCCAACCAGCTATCTACGATAACTACCACCGACACGAGGCTTAGTGATGCAGAGCGCAAGCGGGTGGTTATAGCTTATGAACCATCCCTCCAACAAATTTATAATAGAATTGCTAAGGATTTAAACTTGCACTTAACTTATAGGAGAAAACAGAACATTTTTAGAATCTTATCTAATGCAAAAGACAAGTCTGAGGACAAGAAAGTGCCTAGAGTGTACCGCATTCCATTGCAAGACAATCGTTTCAATAGGCGTATAACATACATTGGGTGCCTGTATCGATCTCTAGAGGCTAGAATACGAGACCTCAAATATGATGTGCCAAGGGGAAGTATAATACTGCCCTAGCCCAGTATGCTACCAAACCCAGAGTTTCTCCTTGTTGGGATAAAGCTATGCTTTTACACAGAGCGTTTGACCGACACAACTTACATTCATTAGAGGCTATTGAAATTTATATAGCGGGCATGAAGGGAGGTTGCATTAACTCGGATTATATTCCAGTTCCACAATCGTGGAAGTATTATTTACAAAGCCACAAAGCATAACTATGATTTTTTAGTATGAAGTTAGCTTTAGGTGATGCAAAGGAAACAATTTTTCCCTATCGCACATCATTTATACACTAAAACATCGGGCTAACTTTTAACAATGAATATATTATTATTGTATTTATTTATAACTTTATTTATAAATATTTTAGTTATATGTTGTAATACGTAATGATCTTTGTATTCAACATCGTTTAAATGTTAAAAATTAGAACACAGCTATGTTTGAAAACTGTTAAAAAGATAGAACTGTTTTTCTATTCTATGCAATTTTTCCTGACGAGGGCCTCTGAAAGACGGCCAAAAACGTTTGAACATTAAATTTTTTTTTCTTGTTCATTTGCTGGAATTATCGCTTAGGTGTGAAGTGGTTGTTTTAACAATTTCTCTTGCAAGTTTTCTTTGTTGACAGCTTTTGGATCCTCCATACATTTTGTATCCTTTAGTTCAAAATTTCCTGAATGGAACTTTTTGAACCACATTTGACATGCTTGAAGTTTAGGAGCTCTGAAACTTAAAGCATATGCCTGATATGCTTTTATCTGAAGACATTTCAACTTGATTTTATTCAAACAAAACATGAAATAAAATAAGTTTCTAAACAAAGAATACTTTCTGACATTAGCAATAATGTGTTAAATTTCACAATTGTTATAATTAAATTATACATCTATGTTACCTGACAGCTGTTAAAAATATGCAAAAAGTTTCTGTTCAACCAAATATAATCTTAATCTATTAACCATGCATTTGAGAAATGTGTGGAAGTAACAAAGTCTAAGAGAAGGGTTATAACACTGATGATTTAAATGAAAAATAAACTTATGAAAAGCATGAAAGTAGTACACATCTGGTGGATCTGGCAGCTATGACCAAATTGACAGTGTGTGATGTGTTAATGCAATTTTCATTTTATTATACAGTATTTACATATTTTATTTATTGCTTTCATGTTTTAGTTTCTTATTAGGGCATTTAATTGTGTTATTTTTACTTTAAATTATGTATATTTGCAGTTTATCAAAATGAATACTGTATTGTGAGAATCTAGGGGCCAATATTTTAGGTCAAATAGAAAATTTTTAAATTTGTCAAACAGGAAACATTTGTTAGTCACAGACAAAGTTTCTTTTGATTTTAAAGAAAGTTCCCGAGGAGAAATGTTTATTTTGATATAAACTCCACAAGGAAGTTCCTTGTTGCTTCTTTCTTCAGGTGATTTGAATTAGCACCAGATGATTGGTCAGATGAATATCTTATAAATAGGATTCACACCAATGCCCAGAGAGCTGAAATTGGAAACATAACTCTATAGAAAGTTGTGTCTAAATGAAAAGGAGTTTCCCACCAAATGCAGGAAATTGCAGCCAGCCCCATCAATGATTCAGAAGAAAAGGAATGAGGTACTGCATTTGACTAACACTGTAAGCTCTCTCTCTTAAGATAGATTTAAAGGAATTGAATATTAGATTGTTGAATGGAAACTTTGTTTAATTTTATTCTTATTACTGTTATTCATGTACTATACCATATATACAGTTTATAATTTAAATAAACAGTTTTAACCATCCTGATTATAGTGAGTGGGATGTCAGAGTCTCCCCAATCTCACAATATTGTTTAAGACCTGAGAATGGATTAATTCGCTTTCCATTATTTCTACTGGAAAAATCTGATTTAGACTTTTAATGATTCAGAGTTCAAATAGCTTCTTGGGATGAATTAAATTCAAAGTATGAGGCACCACTGTATAAGATAAAGTTTTTATTTAATCTTATGTCTGCCTTAGGAATAAAAGTCACATTAATCAGTTTCCAAGTTAAAGGCATGTAATTAAGACTTGCAGATACAGTAAATGTAGCATAAGATAGGAAAAAACATCTGCACAACATTTGAAAACATGAAACATCAACAGCACACCGTGATATATAACAACTAACCTCCAAAAAACCAATAATGGAGCGTTTTCTCAAAAAATAAACTGTCACTAACGTTTTCAAACAATAAAGTTCTTCTTCAGGTGAGAAACAAATGAAAAATTCAATAAAAATTTGATGGAACACTTTCTGAAAGAGCTCCGTAAACGATTCGAAAGAAACCTCATGCGGTGATGACATCGTTGCGCATGCGCCTTCCTCAGAAGTAGAAAATTTCTCTGTATTAACATCCATTGTATATAATTGCTTGCCACGCTATGGATAAAGATAACTCCTCCTTACTGTTAATACACTTATTATTTTGGGTGGTTTTGTATATATAAATTGCCTCCATCCACCTCAAATGCTCTGTATGTTGCGTGGTGCAGATGATCTTAGCCTCATCAAATATTGATTGGATATCCAGATCTGTGGCATAAATGTGCCAAAGCTGTTGTAATTCTCTTGTGGAGTATGTCTGCTTTATGCTCTAAGTCTCACCCCCAATGAGTGCTTTGTGGAGCTGACGTATACTAAATCTTCATCACATTTGTGATCTTTTAACAGGATGGTATACACTCCAGATAACATGTTTTGGTTGGGAGTATCCTTCACATTACGGAGCAGCTCAAATATATTACGACATCTTCTAAAAGTGATGCGGATTTGTTCCTTTTTAGCAATTTCCGAATAAAGATTCTGTAGATACGGATTATACGTGACCAGAATATTATCTTTATGGTTCATTGTTTCTTGCTCCTGCACACTGGTTTGCTTAGCTAGTTGGGGTTGAAGTATTCTTCTGGATAACCTACTTATCAGGTTATGGTACCCATGACGTTCAGCAATATGAGTTAAAGCAGGGATGCACAACCTTTTGTGAAGAAGGGCCAAATTAGGATTAAGTTTACTGACTGGGGCCGGACCTCCAAGTGATTAATGTGATGGCTGAGATTGGATGCTGGCGGCAATCTTCTTTATGTCTGGTGTAATGGCAGATGTTGAAACAACCAGCAGATTTTCCAAATTCTCATTGGTTAACCTGTTCCGTGTTTTGCACTTGTTTAAATTCATAAGCGAAA